GCATGCTAATAATCAAATGCACAAGGGTTGCCTGGAGGAAAAAATACCCATTGCAATACCCAATACCCATTAATATTAGTAAATCCATTTTGCAAGCTACATCCAAGCCTCAGTAAATTTTTTCCACCCAAAAGAAATTGGGTCATCCTTGCAGGTGTAAAAACCTGACGAGGTTTTCTTTGTTTCATGAGGTATTGTTTCGCTGTACGCTATTGTTTACAATGTTTTGTTGTCTTTGTTTTACATCAATCTTGAGCTTCACAGGTTTTTACACCAAGGATGAGCCAAGAAATTAAGGTCTTACATCTGATTTGTGATGAAAGCCAGAGGATCTAACATTGGTGTTTTATTTATCAACCTTTTCAGATGTTTTTCAAGAAGCTCATGGATATCTTGTCACTAGATCCTCAAATTGTACCTTATGAGAAAAGAGAACTCACCCTAGATGCAGTCAACCAGGTGACATATATTTAGTCCTTGTAGTTTGTTAATGGGTTTTTTTCAAAGCATATTTATACCTTTTAGCTCAGTCACATAATGCCAACAGCCACCAAGAATTAAAGGAGCTAAAGCAGTGATACTTGCAAATTATGCATACTTCAAATTTTGTACAAGAATTGCAACTGTGTAAAGTGAATTTAATTTACACTATTTGTATTGTATTTGTACTTTATTTTTTCTTCATTTCAACAAATAAGAATGTAATGAACAATTACAAGAAAGGTAAGAGTATGAAGAAGGGCATAATATAGGAAGCTAATTAGATGCCCTTTGTGTTAAATTACCTTTTTTCATAAAGAAACAATACAAATATAAGATACAAATATAAATATAAGAGAGGGAATAGGAATCACACCTTAAACAACAAATATGTAAATAAAACCGGGTCAGAGGAAGTCATTGATTTACAGTGACCACAGGGTAAGTTAATCCTTGCCTAGGGGCTCTGTGTAAAATGACTCTGAGTCAGGCTTAATTCATATCTATGCAGGTGGGATAAATCCTATTATTATAAATCCTATTATTATAAAAATGCACAAAACTATTTAAATTTTTATTTAAATATGTCACTTTTTACAAGCATACTTTACGTTTTATCGCCTTGCACGGTATATATGAAGTTGTCAAAATTTTATTCTCTTTTCACTTGAAAATGATGACATGGCGTCATCGAAACATAGTGTAAAACTTCTTTTGCTTATTTTTATCATTAGATGTTCAACTAAATCTAATCTTATTTGAATATTATAAAAACACCAATGAAATACTAGGTGAGCTTTGGTGCAAAAATGTGATATCTTCACACATGAAAATAAGATGTTATCTTCACAGGTAGAAATAACACCGTTGCTATGCTTACATTATAAATTGCGCCTTTTGCTGGAAAAGTGAAACGATTTGGTTTTCAATGGTGTTTATATAATAGATAGAATGTCACATGGCCACTTGGAGATATGAAATTTCTCTTCTAACCATTTTCACTGCATTACTGCAATAGGGTAGGACTAGAACAGAACATGCGAATCATGCAAGTAGTCCACCCAATAAATCCCACCCATCCCCACCCCAGGGGAGGACAGCCATCATGCAGTAATCTCGTGCGTGGGAAATGAACATCTCCTACCCCTAACCCTGTAGGAGATGGGACCTCCATTTATTTGTCCCTATCCAAGAAGACTAGAATATCTAACCATTTCTTGATGTTATAGAAAGGTAGCATATTCTTCTCAATTATTTTAAGACCTTGTGTGTTGGTCCAGCCGGGGCTCGAACCCCCGACCTACCGCACAACAGTCCAGCGCTCTATCCATTGAGCTAACCGGGAGGCGGTTAGTGTTGAAAAACATTTCATGAGCTAGTGAAGCAAACAAGTGAAGTATTTTTCAACACTTGAAGAGAAATTTTGTCTCTCTAAACAGCCATGTAATATCCTCTATTTGATACACCTTTAAATTTTTTAAGTCCATTTTTTTTTTTGTCAGAGGAGGGGTCACTCCTTTGCCTTAGATGATGTGAAACTGTGATACTCAGCCTAATATTTTACATATGAAATGGTGGCAAATCTAACAATAAAAACAACAGCATTAGGAACAACAACTTCTAAAATCAGAGGATGTTTTTCTTGTCAAAAAATTAAACCCAACTGGGAACATCTGTTAATGGAAGGACATAGGTTTGATTTAAGTTCTGTGTATTGTGGCATGGTATTTTGGAAGGGCATGTTTGGGAGAGACTTCCTAAAACTCTTTTAACTTATTATAATTAGCTAATAAGTTAAAATTTGATGTTTCTTTCAAATAACCTCTTATCTTTGTCTAGCTTTTCAGGGTTCCAAATTTAGTCATGGAACTCTATCTGAACTATGACTGTGATGTTTACAGCACTAATGTATTTGAGGAACTCTGCAAACTTCTCTCTAAGGTATACTTTGTAGTTTTAGTGTGTATCCAATATGAAATGATCACTGCGGTATGTAAGAAGCACCAAAAAAGGAAATTCAACATTTTGATATTACGTCATAGTTATCAAAGGTGGAAGCAAGATTGGTTCAGCAGTACTGACTGCTCTGTAATTAAGTTGATTATGTTAACAGTTATTACCAGGCTTTTCCAGTTATGGTGATTGCAATGTACACCTATGTTAGTAGACTCGTCGACACAAGATGTGGCCATTAAGAAACAAAAGATATCGTAGAATTTTTTTTTCTTCTATATTTGGAGTGGGATTTTCTTTCCACTAAGAGTCTCATTGAATTCATTGTTAGTCTCGAACGGAAAGTAAGTTATGTAACTACTCTTTCTCATTGACAATGATGAGAATGCAACTTAGTTGTTTTGGCCATTCTTTCCACAGAACGCCTTTCCGTCAGCTGGAAGCCTATATAGTGTACATATCCTTTCTCTTGATGCTCTCCTTGCTGTGGTCCAGAACATCGAAGAACACTGCCACTCTCAGCTTTTAAACACAGCAGAAAATTCCACAGATCAAAATAACTCTGAGAAATGTCCAAACAAGACGACAGGTAAGGGATGTTGTAACTTATCTGTATTGTGTTATATTTTAGATGTCGCTCAAAAACTAGACATGAGCTTCTCACCTTATTACAAATAAAAGGAGCCATATCCACTTCAGAGTCTTGTACATATTGTGTTTGAAAAGAAGACACAGACCATTCTGAGAAGATTTCAGCTAAAGATGATGCAACTGGGAATGAACTTCGTACCACAACTTCCATTCCTTGGAGATATGTTGCGGTTAATTTTGCCATCTCATGTTTGTTCTGCGGTACACGGCAGATATGGAGGTTAGGCCGCAAGTTTATCTCTGACTTCCGCCATCCTACCTTCGCGTTGCTATAATTTTTTACCAGGAATTTCTTTACAATACTTTTAATTGATCATTGATTACATTTAGCGTTTATCTCCAGACAGGCTGTTGTTGGTCTGTTTACTGCTTAGTGTTAGAATGTGAATTCCATCCGTATTCCATAACCTTGATAAATCCACTCTACGTGGAATTTTCCCTCTTGCCTTGCCAGATGACGATTCCGGCATAGATGACAAATGTGATTCATGCTCACTGATGTCTCCACCGTCGCCACCAACTTCTGGCTTTGCCATGGCTAAACAAATGACAGTGGGTGTTGAATCACAAGAACTGAGCACACAAGACAGTGCTGCAAAGAGTTGTGATCATTATGGTGATGACAAGTCTCTGAACTCATCTCTCGGTCTTCTCTCTTCCCACCTTCCAGCAGTTGAGACTTTGGCCAAACTGAGACAGAGAAAGAAGGTAGAACAAAGTCACCGGACAACAAGTCAACCAACAGTCCCCCTCCCCCTTCCTATCATTTATAAATTTTAATAACTTTTTCATATAAAAAAGTTTGTGCTCAGTTACTGGATTACATTTGTCTGGAGAATTACTTTTGAATCACTTTCAGAGAGATTATGGATTTTGCTTTTGTTACTTTATGCCGCCTACTCTGCTTCAAACCAATTGATGTGTTCCTTCTTAGATTCTTCAAGCTGGTACTGAGCAATTCAATAACAAGGCCAAGAAAGGAATCGAATTTCTTCAAGAGCAAGGGTTGCTTTCCTCTCCTCTTAATCCTGAGGAAATGGCCAAATTTTTGCGTGAAAATCCACGTCTTGACAAGAAAACGATTGGCGATTATCTCGGTGACAAAAAGAACACCAAGGTTCTAGAGGCATTCGTCCGGTAAGTAGTTTTTGCTGTACTAATTTTCTCACGAAATGATAATTTGGTGACAAGCAAGAGAACCTCTACTTTTGAATTGTAGTATTAAATGACAAGGTAGCCCTGAGATAAACAGAGTGTTCGCATTAGTTCTAATTTGGTCTGTGTTTTATGAGGCTAAATGAAATTTAGGCAAGGTTAAAATCAAGGCATGATGGTCAGCGGAGGACATGCTGCGGGGCGCCCCCTTTGCAATTGCAGGGTCACGAGGTTTTCAGTACGTTTTGAGATCGTCGCGGATCCTAACGTGAGCCGCCTCTTGTGCTCCCACCCTCCCTCCTCTATGGCGGGCCAAGAGCAGGTAAGTATAAAACAATTCCACTGACTTGTCAGTGTGACAGGTGCCAGGGGGGTGGACCGAGGTTGTGTCGCCATGGTAACCTCCCTGCTGTGGGTAGTCAGCGCGGCTGCCACAGTGCTACGGCACCTTCCTCCAAGCTCATCAGTGCCGATGAGTTTAAGCCATGCGAAAATTGGTATTTGTTTGAGGGGAAAAAAGGCGTGACATAAATTCAGGGTTACAACAGAATGTGAAACTGCGAAGATGGGAAGCTCTACCAACTGAACTTTTGAGCTGTTCATCACGAACGAAAGAGCTAACAGTTGTGTGGTAACATAATTGTGTAACATAATGGAATGGGTCAGTGAAAGTTAAGCAGAGCTTTTGTACCAGAACTAAAAAAAGTCATTGCATTTTTAGCTTTTTGTTCATTCTAAATCCTTTGAACAACGTTCTTCGAATCTCTCTGGTCGGAGAAGGCAGTGTGGCCGAGTGGTCAGCGTGTTGGACTCGCAATCCGTCGCTCCCGGGTTCGAGTCCCGCCCTGACCACTACCCGAATTTGTTTCACGGTAGCTCCGAGTTCAAATCCTCGGCCATGCTTGTAGATAGCCAACTGGTTTGCCTTCGGCCAGATGGGATTCTTAATAATGTTATTTTCAATTTGAATCATTTGTTTCAGTTGTTTGGTGTAAAACCTGTAAACTAGCTTTCAGCTAAGTGTTTCTCCACCATAAAGCAGGTTATTAGTAGTAACAGTTAGTTTCATTCTTGATGAACTAAATTATGTGAAATTTTCATTTAGAACTTTTTTTTGGAAAGTTTGAAAGGTGAAACTCAACAGTTACCTCTCAGATACATGCTGCACAAAATTCTTTTATTCCCGCTATTTAATAAAAAAGACAAGTTGAAACGCTTGCTCTGGCTATGTACTCTTTCATTGACATAACATTTGTTGTGTAATCTCTGTTTTCAGGTCTTTCCATTTCCATGATTTAAGGGTGGATGAAGCCCTTCGTTCTTTCTTAGAAAGTTTCCGTCTTCCGGGTGAAAGTCCTGTCATTGAACACATTATAGAGTTCTTCTCTGAATTGTTTTATGTAAGTTGAAGGTTTTGTTTCGTGTATTTCATGGCCAACTATTGATGACGCACTAAACCGCCCTAAAAGTGCTCAATGTATTCATCGTTCCTATGGACGTTTGATGGTTCGTTTCACTGGTCACGTGAACCTGAAAGAAAAAAAGGCATTCAACAAAGAACAAGGTGTCATGTAATGTCCATCATACATGTATAGCAAGGAAATGGGAATTTTTTCTTATCGCAATTCAGAAACTATTTTTTTTGTCACTTAAGCGGATTGTTACAAGAATTTTATTCTCTTGTAGACACATTTGGTTTGATAGCAACCAGAACCTGGCGTTTTTACCTGGTAACTGTCAAAAGTGACCCACTATTAATCTCAAGCCAATGTGTAGCGTTTGCGGCGACCAAAATCTAAATTCTCAAGTTAAAGGGCGTGTCGCTCCAAAACGCGATTAACAAGGTGTTTGGGGACTATTTTACTGATCGAAATAACAAACCAAAGTTGACCGTTTGCACGAATCTTT